TATACAATAAATGAATGAATGAATAAGGGCTGTGCCATAATCAGTACACACAGCATATCAAAATGTAAATTTTATTTTTGAAAATATAACAGTTCTGATTACACAGTGTGACTGTTCAGCTCTTTAATAATAATAATGCTATTTTTTTGTGGATTAATTGGTTAAACTACTGCATGCTTATATTTGAACCTCACAAAGCAGACTTTTGACTGAAATATTATGGGCACCTTTTGCACTTTAGATATGTACATTTCCTATCATTTGTTGTTTAAAAATTTCTAATTTCTGGACTTCTCTAAGTGCCACTATCTTTTTTTTTTAATTATTCTGTGTGTTGCCTAGTTGTAATGTACATACAGTTTACCGATCTCTAGCATCTGGTTTTGAGTGACATATTTATTATTCATATAATTATTATTTAGTTACTACTATTATTGAGAAAGTATATTTATACATACTTGAAATAATAATATGAACTAATTATATGTAATGGCCAATATTAATAGATTAATAACCCCAGCAGAAATCAGTGAATGGTGTGACAGCTATGTAATTTTTGGTTAGCAGTTTCATCTTTCCTTCACAAAAAGTGACCTGGAAGCTAGTTTAGTCTTAAACTGTTCACGATTTCTTTGTAATCTGAAGTGTGCCCAAAAATCTTTGTGGCAGTTAGGTAGTGTGGTGATAGGAGCCCTTTACATGATTTTTGTAGTTTTTTAACAGCACTGAATGAAGCATAAATGTAGGGATCATATGCTGTTCTGTGACTATATACTTGCATTTTACTTTTACAGGGATAATACCAAGAAAGCATTCACAATCTTGAAAATGACTAATAGAAACATGCCTCCTGTTAGTCCCTTGAAATATCAAATCTGATTCATTAGGCAATATAGCATCCATTCTGGGCAACATCAAGATAGACTCATGTTTATTTGAAAGTAACACAACCTTTATTTTCAAGGTGTTGCCAAAAGAGAGTATGAGAATACTAATCTTTGATCTTTCAAGCAACTGCCATATAGGTCCTGCAACTTATATTTTTAAGTTGTTACTTAATGACCCTGCCAGTATCGAGACTGTATAGTGTTTGATGTTGAGATTATTAATGAACGTGAAGCAGTTGGTGGAATGAGATTGGACAGAGGAAACTGAAGTATTCAGAAAGAATTTATCCCAATATCACCTTGTCACAAATCTGTCATCTGACCTGGAATTGAAGCTGGACCACTGTAGTGGGAAAGTGGCATTTTACCATATGAGCTATACCACAGCCTATCACAACTTATGTTTTGGCAAATAAATACAAATAAATATTGATATTAACAGATTTTATGAAAATGGCATCACAGCACATTTTAAATAAGTGCATATGCAGAGCAGGAAGTCACTTAAATGGCAACATACGAAGTTCTGGTCTGAATTCATAAATTTTTGTTTTGCAGGCAAATGTTAACATCAGCATCCTGCCCTAGGGAAAGTGATCATAAATGTTACTGATATTGCTCATCTATGAATTATCAGATGGTACTTTCACTGGTCTATATATGTGAGCTGTAACCTAAATAACTTAATAAGCCTTACAGGATCACAGTAATTTCACAAATAGCAGCAATAAAGATTTCAAGCCAGCCTTCACGTTTTGCATATGAGTCATCTGCAGTGACTGTGGGTTGTAGTATAAGTGTGTGTGGAATTTCATAAAATCACGAGTACTACCTTTGTTGTTGCAGGATTTCCTTGGCAGATTATTAGCTTTATAAATTTATGGACAAGGTAGTACAGTGTGTCATCATTTTGTGGTTGAGTAAATTAACTCCGACATTGAAGTTCTTATGTATCCTTCCATTTAATTTGGTATCTTAATATTACATGTGTACATCCATCATATATTTCAGTGAGGGAAGTGTCTCTGACTCTTGTCAAAGAGTAAAAGTTTTAACTTAACTCCAAGTACAGTATGTGTGCTGAGTGATATGTTTATATGTGGTACAGTCATTAAATTCGTGGACTGTGGTTTTATCAGAAGATATTCACATGCACTTACACAGATACACATCAGCCCTCAAAATAGTTGCTGTTGGCCACTATGCAAGTCTGCCAATGTTGATATAGCTACCGAAAACATTGGTGAAACATATTGGCAGGAAATTCTCATACGGCATCTCTTGTGGCATTGACGACCTCCTCAGACGACTGAAATCTATGACCACGTAGGTTTGCTTTCAAGTGGTGAAACAAAGAAACTGAATGGTGCAAGATCAGGTGAGTATGCAGGGTGTGGCAACACAATGACCTGTTGCCTTTCCAGTTCCTCTTGGACAAGAACGGAGCGATTTGCAGGGGCGTTGTCATGTAGCAACAGCCAATTCTTCCTATGCCAAACGTTTCGCTAGGGGATTTGCCTAGTTTCTGGCAGAACTTTATGTTTTCCCGTTGTTCAAACTGCCACATTTTTTATTTCTGTCACTTGCATTTAACCGCAGTTCACAATAGAGGCCGTAGTTCTGCTTACACTGTTTGCACACAACTGCCTTTTGCTGTGACAAGAGATGAATGGACAGGTCATCATATTGTGCCTCAACCTATTCACTGTAGTGC